CCTCCCAAGTAGCTGGAATTAGAGGTATGTGCCACCATGCCCAGCTAGTTTTTGTATTTTTAGTAGAGACAGGTTTCTCCATGTTGGCTAGTCTGGTCTTGAACTCCTGACCTTAGGCGATCCCCCGGCCTTGGCCTCCCAGAGTGTTGGGATTAGAGGCATGGGCCACCGCACCCGGCCTCACTTTCATTTTATTTTATTTTATTTATTTAGTTTTTTGAGACGGAGTCTCGCTCTGTCGCCCGGGCTGGAGTGCAGTGGCAGGATCTCGGCTCACTGCAAGCTCCGCCTCCCGGGTTTACGCCATTCTCCTGCCTCAGCCTCCGGAGTAGCTGGGACTACAGGCACCCGCCACCTTGCCCGCCTAGTTTTTTGTATTTTTTAGTAGAGACGGGGTTTCACCGTGTTAGCCAGGATGGTCTCGATCTCCTGACCTCGTGATACGCCCGTCTCGGCCTCCCAAAATGCTGGGATTACAGGCCTGAGCCACCGCGCCCAGCCCACTTTCATTTTAAAAATGAAAACGGGATGGTTGTGGTGGCTCACACCTCTAATCCCAGCACTCCGGGAGGCCGAGGTGGGCGGATCACCTGAGGTCAGGAGTTTGAGACCAGCTGGGCAACATGGTGAAACCCCGTCTCTACTAAAAATACAAAAATTAGCTAGGCCTGTTGGCAGGTGCCTGTAATCCCAGCTACTTGGGAGGCTGAGGCAGGAGAATCGCTGGAACCTGGGAGGCAGAGGTTGCAGTGAGCTGAGATTGCACCACTGCACTCCAGCCTGTGCAACAGAGTGAGACAGTGTCTTAAAAAGAAAAACAAACAAACAGGGTAGTTCAAGTAATAAAATAGACCAGACTAGAATAGGATGGGCTAGAAAATATGAGAATGTATAGCACATAATGAGTATTGTTCTATAAAATGTGTGTTTATTGGACGGGAGTGGTGGCTAACACCTGTAATTCCAGCACTTTGAGAGGCCGAGGTGGGCGGATCATAAGGTCAGGAGTTCAAGCCCCGCCTGGCCAACATGGTGAAACCCCATCTCTACTAAAAATACAAAACATTAGCTGGGTGTGGGGGCACATGACTGTAATCCCAGCTATTCAGGAGGCCAAGGCAGGAAAATCGCTTGAACTCAGGAGATGGAGGTTGCAGTGAGCCAAGATCTCGCCATTGCACTCCAGCCTGGGTGACAGAGCAAGACTGTCTCAGGGGGGAAAAAAAGGTGTGTTTATTTATTGGGTCCAAGGTGTAAAAAATGTTTGAGGCTTCTCCCCCACCCACCCCCCATCCCACCCCACCCCTGGCGGAAAAAAAGAAAAAACTATCTATTTTCATCCCTAGTGCTGAATACAATGCTCTATATAGATAAGACTGGATAAATATTTGATAATGACAATAAACAGAAACATCAGATGGAAGCTAGAAAAAAATTCCATGATATGCTTAAAATGAACTTTTCAAAAGAAGCGCCAGCTCACAAAATTGTATTTTCATGTTTATACCACTATTACTCTGCTAATTTTGACTAAGACCTACTGTGTTTTAGGCAATATGCTAATGGCTTGGGATGTAAGAAATAATTAAAACACAGCCTTTCTTTCTCAGAGCTTGCTAGCGTGTGAAGAAACAGCTGGGGAGAATAATCTATCCTCGATGTACAAGAATCAGTACTTGAAAATATTCATCTCATTATAAATAACAAGTATATAATTACATGCATGTATACTTGTATTTTATTTTTGTTTCTGTATTTATTTTTATTTTTGTTTTACACTAGTGGTTATCTTTAATATGAACGCTAGTTCATATTTTGGTTTTGGTAGAATATCATGGTTAAAACTTATAATTCAGATTCACTAAGATGTTTATAATAAATAAAACATACAGTAAGTGTCGGTGAGGATGTGGAGAAATTAGAACCCACGTACATGGCTGGTTGGAATGTAAAATGGTACAGCTGCTTTGAGAAAGCCTGGTAGTTCCTCAAAAAGTGTAGAATTACCATATGACCAGGTATATACTCAAGAGAAATTAAAAATATGCCCACACAAAAACTATATACAAATGTTCATTGCAGCATTATTCATAACAGCAAAAAAAGAAATAACCTAAATGTCCATCACTGATGAACAAAATTTGATCTCTATCTGCACAATGGAATACTATGTATCCATAAAAGGAACATCAGGCTGGATGCTGTGACTCACACCTGTAATCCCAGCACTGGGAGGTTGAGGCGGGCAGATCATGAAGTCAAGAGATGGAGACCATCCTGGCCAACATGGTGAAACCCCGTCTCTACTCAAAATACAAAAAATTAGCCAGGGGAGGTGGCGGGTGCCTGTAGTCCCAGCTACTCAGGAGGCTGAGGCAGGAGAATCACTTGAATCAGGCAGGCGGAGGTTGCAGTGAGCCGAGATTGTGCCACTGCACTCCAGCCCAGCGACAGAACGAGACTCCTTTTCAAACAAAAAAGAACGTCAACAACTGGTGACACATGCCACATATGGATGAGCCTTTAAAACATTATGCTAAGTGAAAGAAGCTAGTCACAAAAGAGCATACACTGTTTTATTCCATATACATAAAACAGCCCAGAACAGGCAAATCTATAGACATAGAGATTAGCATTGCCTAGGGCTGAGGGATTCGTGACTTCTAAAGGGGTAGAGGGTCTTTTTTTTAGGGTGACGAAATGTTCTTTTTTTTTTTTTTTGAGACAGAGTCTCGCTCTGTCACCCAGGCTGGAGTGCAGTGGCCGGATCTCAGCTCACTGCAAGCTCCGCCTCCCGGGTTCACGCCATTCTCCTGCCTCAGCCTCCCAAGTAGCTGGGACTACAGGCGTCTGCCACCTCGCCCGGCTAGTTTTTTGTATTTTTTAGTAGAGACGGGGTTTCACCATGTTAACCAGGATGGTCTCAATCTCCTGACCTCATGATCCGCCCGTCTCGGCCTCCCAAAGTGCTGGGATTACAGGCTTGAGCCACCACACCCGGCCTGAAATGTTCTAAAGTTAGATTATGGTGATGGCTGCACAACTCCGTGAACAAACACCACTGAATTATGCACTTTAATTTTTTTTTAGAGATGGGGTCTTGCTGTGTTGCTCAGGCTGGAGTGCAGCAGCTATTTAAAGGTGTGATCATAGCTCATTGCAGCCTCAAACTCCTGGGCTCAAGTGATCTTCCTTTCTCAGTCTCCCGAGTAGCGAGTAGCAGGGACCACAGGTGCACGCTCACCGCACTAGCTCCAAATTGTGTATTTTAAATGGGTGAATTTTATTATATGTGAATTACATCTCAATAAAGAAGTTAAGGTCGGGCGCAGTGGCTCACACCTGTAATCCCAGCACTTTGGGAGGCCAAGGCAGGCGGATCACGAGGTCAGGAGTTCAAGATCAACCTGGACAACATGGTGAAACCCTGTCTCTACTAAAAATACAAAAATTAGTCGGGTGTGGTGGTGGGCACCTGTAATCCCAGCTACTGCAGAGGCTGAGGCTGAGCAGTTCTCCTGAGGCAGGAGAACTGCTGGAACCGGGGAGGCAAAAGTTGCAGCAAGCTGAGATCACACCATTGCACTCCAGCCTGGGCAACAAGAGTGAGACTCTGTCTCAAAAAAAAAAAAGAAGTTAAAAAATATGATTCAGGCCAGCCAGCATCCATGTATACCTAAAAATCCATAATTTCAGAGAGCTGTTTGCAAAGCACTATGTAAATGCTTTGAGACATAGAATACATGAGGTGCAGAGCTCACCTTCCACAGGCTCACAACTGAGCTTTCTCATCTAGGCATAATTTATTCACACCTTTCATTCCTAAATATACTGGGCAGGATTCTGAGTTGTGAGTGAAAGCATATCAACTTAAAGTGAAAAAAGGAATGTATTAGCTCTTATAACTGGGAAGTCCAAAGGTTTTGGCCTGACTAGAAGCAGAGGTTTATGTAAAGGCTTTAGGACTCTTGCTTCTTTCCTTTTGGTTCCCTGCAAACCAGAAGTCCGTGGTCCTTAAGATTTGTAAACCCAGAGTGTCCTTCATGATATTCTCCTGAAAAGTCTAGAGGATAACTCTGAAAAGCAGGATCAGCCCCCTCATCCATACAGACTGAATGAATGATTATGATTGAATCAGAATATATTCTGTACAGACAAAAAAGCACCAGTATTATCATTGCTATCATCTTAGATACAGTATTGAGGGAGTCTGCAAGCACATCATCAGGAGTTCTCCAAATGGTGGCATTTTTAGTAAATAATTTTATGTTAATATGTATTTTTTGTACATGGTTCTCTCAACGTGATACCCGAGGAAAAAATATATGTATTTTATAAACAGGCTGAAGTACTGAGGAGGGAAAAGATGTTGAATAATGGGGAAATTATTATTATTGGCTGGCTAGCCCAATAACCATTGCCAATCCCCTTTCCCTTGCCTGCCTTCACTGTAATTGATAAAGTATGTAACTGGCAAATTACTTGCTTTCCCAGTTTCTCACTCTACCTGGGTGGCCATGTGACAGGGGTCTGGCTAATGGATGTAAGTGCAAGTGTTCCGGGAAAGCTTTCACTTTCCTAAAAGGGTAGATGTGTCTGGCCCCACTCCTCCCTTTTCCTTCTTTGAACACAAATGTGTCATCTGGAACTGCAGCAGCCACCCTGTGTTTAGGAGATAACTAGCCACTGTGATAAGGATGGAATAGAAACAGACTGGGTCTTTGATGACACTGGTAAGCCTCTGCACCAGCTCTGGCCTACCCACCAGGAGAATTCTTATAATACAAGTTAATTAGATACAATTTTTCCTTACGGCACTGTTAGGTTTCCTGCAGCTGAAAGTATTCTTAATTGGTACAAGTGGTGTGAGCCCGATATTCTGGAAACAGAAAAGCAAAACAGTATTAATGTTTCTTACTAATGCATTAATAAAATTATCATAAATTACTTTCTAGGGATTACTTTCTGGGACCTTTTAGTCGATAAAAACTCACAAAAGACCAATTTAAAATGGTAGAATTTATTTTAATATAATGATATATATGCGTCCACATATACTATTTTAAAAATAAGCATGTAAATTATAATCATTATAAAACATAAGTTAGCCCTAATATTATCAGAGTAAAAGAGCACATATAGAAGTCAGTCTAACATTGTTGCACTTGTCTTTTAAAGTTAGAATACACAAAAGATTTAGCGCATTGTATTTTATTTCAGTTTCCATGTTATCATCATTAACTATAAATACCCTTAGGAATGTACCACCTTATAACTTACATTCAAATAGCCAACATTTCTCAGCAGCTATTAAAGTACCATTAAATCACCTAAAACGAATAATCTAAAAAAATACTAGTTTAAATTAAAACCCTGAGGAATTAAAATTTTTTGTACACAATAGTTTTGGTTAAGTGCAATTTCATGTACATACTACTTTAAGGATGTACTTGGTAAGGCATAGTAAAAATAAAATCTACACGAGTAACAATCTAATACTATATTTAATTTGTTGCTACAAAGTTGTTTTGTTTCTCTAAAAAGTAGTTTTTGCATATCGTTCTGGACCTCTTCACCCATCTGCTGGCTTATTTGCCTTATATACGGTAGTTAAAATCTGTGCACTAAGCTGAGCTGCCTTCACAATTGTGGTTCAGACAAAATGCACCCGAAGAACTACATGTTAAGAGAGTTCATGTCCATGCTCAACCATGGCTTGCACAAACTGCTTGAAGACACGATCCATGTAAGTGGATTGCCTTGGCCAGATTCCCTCCAGAAAACCAATATGGCCTCCATAAGAAGTAAGGACCAAAGCAACATTAGGATTTTGCTTAGCAGTTTCTATTGGAATAGCTTCAGCCCAAACAGGGTGGCAATAAGAGAGAAGAAGGAGAGAGAAAAATATAATCATTAAGTTTTTGTTAGGAAAAGCATATCTCTTCATCATGTCTAATAAACAGAAATCAAAACACCATTATATAAATATATGTAATGAGCACAGTTAAATGGAATGAGTCTAATTTATATCAACTATCTATATTCTTATAACAGTTCGTATATACGGTCATATACTTGCACAATCATTTCGGGAAGAACCAATCCAAGATTTAATCATAACACAAAAGTACACGTCAAGTCTTATTTTGAGAAATTAAAGTAAGACAATTCAAGGAATGGTGAATCCTCATAATATGCTATAAAATTCCCACTGAGGCGTTACAGCAGGGAAAACAACTAAGCTTAGCACCTTTGTGAGAGTTAGAAATTCATTAGCTATTATTTTGATCAATTTTACATGATGTGGCTCGGCATGGTAGCTCATGCTTGTAATCCTAGCATTCTGGGATGCCAAAGTGAGAGGATCACTTGAGCTCAGGAGTTCGAGACCAGCCTGGGCAACATAGTGAGACTCCATCTTGAAAGAAAGAAAAGAAAGGAAAGGAAGAAGAAAGAAACAAGACAGGAAGAAAGCAAAGAAAAAGAAAAGGAAAGAAAGAGAAAGACAAAAAGAAGAAAAGGAAGAAAGAAAGAAAAGAAAAGAAAACAAAGGAAAGAGAGAGAGAGAAAGAAAAAGAAAGAGGGAGGCCGGGCGCGGTGGTTCACGCCTGTAGTCCCAGCACTTTGGGAAGCTGAGGTGTGTGCATCATGAGGTTCAAGAGATTCGAGACCATCCTGGCCAACACGATGAAACTCTCTGTCTACCAAAAATACAGAGAAATTAGATGGTTATGTTGAGTGTCGGCTGTGAGTCCCAGCTACTTGGAGGCTGACAGGGAGATATTCGGCTTGAACCTGGGAGGTTGAGGCTTGCAGTCAGCTGAGATCGTTCCATTGTATTCTAGCCTGGCGACAAAAGTGAGACTCGTGCTTTAAAAAACCCAAAAACGCTGGGTCACTGCCTGTAATCCCAAGTCTTGGATGCAAAGGGGTGTCTGATGAGGTCAGGATGTTCAACAGCAGGCCCTAGCCAACACTCGAGTGGAAACCCGTCATCACTAAAAACACCAAAAAACCTACGCCCGCGCCACACGGGCGTGCGTGGCCCCTGTACATCGCCAGCTTACTTGGGAGGACCGAGGCTGCCACCGCTGAGCTTGACGCGTATGGCGCCACTGCCTCGCAGCCTGGGTTGACAGAGCAAAACTCCAATCTCAAAAACAAACGGGAACAAACAAAAAAAGCGACCCGGAGAGAAGAAAGAAAGACCAAACGAGCAGTGAACTGTATACCTATATAATGTTAGATCCTCACGGCCCAATTAATCCGGCTGTATAAGGATCAAACGAGCTCTCAGTAAATAGTAGATTTATATATAAAAAAGCCATATAGATAACAACAAAAGACGAACTGACCATTCTTTGACATGGTAAACAGCCTGTCATGTTTACTTTGCGGCAGGATACCCACCACGTGCATTTTTCCCTTTTCTCCCTTCTCTGAATTTCCTACATGCTATGGCTAAAAGACCAAAGAAACGCCTCATTTAAAAAAACATAGGTCGTCGCCATGGCAGCGCTCCACCTGTAACCCAACCTGGAGCGAGGCAGAGATCGCGGCCGCCCGAGGCGGTTGGAGCGATCCCGCAGACTCCTGCCCAACCTGAAACCCGTGCTCCACCGTAAAACACCACACACAGCACCACACCTGTCCACGCACTCGCTCGCCGTGAGTCACGTCCAGCCAACCTCCGGCCCAGGCTACGGCAGCCGCACGAGATCGCGTTAAACCAGGGAGCGGCAAGTGCAGTGAGCGAGATGCCCTAGGCACTCCGGCCGTGGCAAACAGAGAACATCGCTCTCAACACACGAAACAAAACAACACGCCAAAACCAAAACAAAACAAAAAAAACCGTTAGTTGCCTGGCCACCCCGGCGCAGCGTGGTCTCACTGCTCCTTGCTCCTTGTTTCTCCCTCCTCTATCATATAATCTATGCTATCTTGCGTCGTCTGTGTGTATGTTTTTTCTTCAGTGTTTTGTGTGCCCCGGATCACTTTGAGGCTCCAAGATTTGAGACCAGCCCCGCCCCTGCGCCCTCCACCACCACCGCGCCCTTAAACCGTAGTCTCGCTACTAGCAAAACTACTTCTAACAAACTTAGCTGCCCAGCCCATCGCTGCGCACCGGACCATGTAATTCAGCCTACTTGGCGAGGGCTGAGAGCCAGCCCAGAATCGCCCCTTGCAACCAGACGACGGACGGTCTGCAGTCGAGCCACGATTGCGTCATTGCACTCCAGCCTGGCGTGACAGAGCAAGACTCTGGTTTCAATAAACAAAAATAAACAACCACTAGCTTGCCTGCTATCTTACTATAATCCCAGTAAGACAGCTCTTTTCCTTTTTTTTTTTTTTGAGACCACGAGTGTCACACTCTGATCACCCAGGCTGCGCCAGTGCCAGTTGATTGCAATCGCTGGCTCATGACAACCTCCGCGCCTCCCTCGGGTTCCAACGGAGTTCTCCTGCCTCAGCTCCTGACGTTTAGGCTGGCGATACCAGGCGTCCGCCGCCACCAACCTGGCTGAATTTTTTATTTTTTAGTAGAGACAGGGGTTTCACCATATTGGATCAGGCTGGTCTTTGAACTGCTTGATCCTCATGATCTGCCCTGCCTCGGCCTCCCAACAGTGCTGCGGATTAACAGGTGTGGGCATCGTTCATGGCCTGGACAGTGTTTTCATCTGCTCTATAAATCTACCCTTGGAGTAATATAAACTTTATGGCTTATGCGTTTGTTTGAGACGGGGAGTCTTGGGGTTCTTTTCGCCCAGGCTTTAGTGCAGTTGCGCATCCTCGCTCACTGACAAGGCTCCGCCTCCCGGGGTTCACATATTACTCTTGCTCCAGGACTCCCATTTAGCTGGGGACTACAGGTGGTTACCACCATGCCCCGGCTAACTGTTTTGTAGCTTTTAATAGAGTACGGGATCTTCACGTGTTATCCAGGCATGGTCCTCAATCTCTGGACCGTCGTGATTACCTGCTTCGGCCTCCCAAAGTGCTGGTGATTACAGGCCATGAGCCACCGTGCATGGCTAAACCTTTATTTTTATTTTTTATTTTGTATTTGTTTGTGAGACACAGTCCCTTGCTCGTGGCCCCAGGCTGGGGGGAGTACAGTGGTGCAATTCTCGCTACTGACACCTTGCCACCTGTGGTTCAAGCGATTCTCCTGCCTCAGTCCTCCCAAAGTAACTGGGATTACAGGTGCCCACCAGCATGGCCAGCTAATTTTTGTATTTTTAATAGAGACGGGTTTCACCATGTTGCCATGCCTCGGCTCCTCGATCACTCCTGACCTCACAGTGATCCTTTGCCTGCTCAGGCTCCCAACAGTGCTGGCATTCACAGGCGTGCGCCACCCATCTTGGCCTGAGTACTAAACCTTTTAAAAGATATGAACTAAAGTTTTTTTTTTTCCTCCCACTGCTTTAGAGATCAGTGAAAAGGTTACTGATATAAGGTCTCTAATGGATCAAAACCTGTTCAGTGAGAAGTGTTTTGATTTCAGATACTGCCAAAAAGTCTTATCCTCCCTAATGTATGGATAACATGGTTGAGGCCGAGTGTGGCTGGGCTCACGCCTTGTAATCTCAGCACTCCTTGGGAGGGATCTTTGGGGCTAGGATTCTGAGACTAGCTGCGGCAGCGATAGCAAGGACCTGACATGTCTTTACAAAAAAATGTTACAAAAAAACAAAAAACAAACGAAAGATAAAGCCTGGTGGCTCGTGGCATGCGCCCCTATACGTCCTAGCTGACCCCGCCTGACGGTGGCGAGGACAGCTTCGAGCCCAAGGAGTTGTCAAGGCTGTAGTTAAACTTTTTTGTTTTGTTTTAGATGGAATTTCAGCTGTTGTTGCCCAGGCGGCCAATGGTCGACTTCTGCGGCTGGCTTATTGCAACCACCATGTCCCGAGTTCAAGCAGTTCTCCTGCCTCAGGCCTCCCAAGTAGCTGGGCATTACAGTGTGGCGTGCCACCATGCCCGGTATTGTGTTTTTTTTTTTTTTTTTTTTTTTTTTTTTACTAGAGATGGGGTTTCAGCATGTTGCTCGGCTGTGGCGTCTGTTGACGCGACTTCAGGTGATCCGCCCACCCTCGCCTCTCCGAAACTGCTGGGATGTACAGGAGGCCACTATGGCTCGGCCTGGCTGCAGTAAAACATATGTATGGGGTCACTGACCTGGTCTTGGTGACAGAGCGAGATCCTTGTGTCCAAAAAACTATAATATATAAAGTGTGATTGATGCGAATAATTACAACTTCACAACTTGGGCTGACGCTCTTTAAGGGCAAATGATCCTGAATTAAATTAACAGCTTCTCTACCCCACCCCTTGTGAAGAAGAAAAGAGGAAGCAAAATTCAGTGTAAGGAACTGGGTTTCTACAAACTGACTGGTTTAGACGAATTTGCTCTACGATTGGACCTTCGCAAGACCGAAGAATTAAACTGATAGCCCTAAACGAGGCGTCGCGCAAAAGTAATTCGACAGAAAGAGTGCTGACTTCATGTCCTTAGCTAGCCACATCCGTCCCAAGGAAAAAAGTGAACATCTATCTTGGGATCAGGTGTGGGAACTTAAGGGGGAATGGCTGATACTATTTTTGCTTTTCCTTTTTCACCAAACATTTAGAGTGTTTCATTTGCCTCTAAAGGAATTATCAAGAGCCTAAACTTCACATTCTGGATACATTCAGAAATTTCTAACGCTGAGAATTACAGTCATATCAGAAGAACAAAAGGCTGGGCCACATTTGAGTCATGTGAAAGATGCTAGCTGCCTGTTCTCTCAGACTGCAGACAATTGTCCACTATTTCAATGTGGCAAGACTATTTTAAAGGCTTGGGAAAGAATAGAAAATAATGAGTTCAAACTTCACCCAAGTGGGTAAGGTTAAAATGTTGGGAATTTTTTGTTGGTAAAAAGGTCAGTGAAATATAAAAACGGGTAGAGAAATACCAGACTTCCTTAATCCAATGAAAATATGCTAAAACAATCACCATGTAAGTCAACTGATATTAAAGTTCACAGTTTCATTTCTTTTTTATTTTTTTTTTTTGGAGACGGGAGTCTGCTCTGCTCACCCCAGCTCTGGAGTGGCTGGGCCGGGATCGCGCGGGCTCAGCTGCAAGTCCCACCTCCCGGGTTTATGCCGGATTCTTCCCTGCCTCATCCTCCGCGAGTAGCTGGGGTACTACAGAGCGCCGGCCACTCTCGAGCCGGTCTAGTCTTTGTATGTTTGTAGTAGAGACCGGGGTTTCACATGTTAGCCAGGTTGGCCGCGAGTCTCTGCTGACCTGGTGGATCGGCCTGCCGTCTCCGGCCTCCCAAGAGTGCTGGGATTACAGGTGTGAGCCACCGGCGCTCCGGGCACAGCGTGTTCACGTTTTTCCGTAAGACTGGTGCGGTCAAGGCGCGTAAGTTGGTCAGCGTTCTAGGCGAGTACTTGTCCGCCATTGGAATCATCAAATCACGAGCAATAAAAATGGATCTGTCGTAGTAGAATAATAGTAATTAAAAAATAGTAGTCGAGCATAGTTATATACACGACACTTGCGAATGCTGGAAAATTTCACAACGCATATGGTGTGTATGTTTATAGTGTAGAAGCAGTGTTTTTAAGATGAAGTATGTGGGGAAAATGGGTGTGTGAATGTATTGAAAAGAAAGAAGAGAGAAGGAAAAATTTTGGTGTTTGTTTTCTGAGATGGGTAGCTGCTTGGCGCTGCTGTCCGCCCAGCGCTGAGCGGCAGTGGCACCGGATCTCAGCTCACTTGCAACCGTCCAGCCTCCTGGATCGAAGCAATCTGCCGCATCCTCCTGGCCGCAGCCTGCCAGAGCACGCGGGATGTATCAGGCACGCGTGCCACCAAGTGCGCCAGCTACTTTGTATTTTATAGTAGAGATTGGACTGGGCGGTGGGGGTGTGCGCACCGTAGTGGGCCAGGCTGGCTCCGCATATCTTTGTCGATCAAATCTCGATATTCTGTGACAGTACAGCAAGGCAGGAAAGGTTTGGGTGCCGCGCATGTGTGGGGCTCGATGTGCTCTGTAATGCCACAGCCTCCTGGGCGAGGCCCGATGGTGGGGTGGATTCGGCGCTGAGGTGCAGGACGTTGCACAGATAGTCCTGGCAACAGCAGTGAAACCTCTCATCTTTAGATTTACAACGAATACCAAGAAAGTTTGTGCCGGGCGCGGTGGCTTCAAGCTTGGGTAATCCGGCAGGTCACTCTGGTTCGAGCGCGAGACGGCGCGGATCATCGCGAGGTCAGTGAGGATCGAGACACCGTGGTCACGGGGTGAAACCGCGCGTCTCGACTTAAAAATACAAAAAGCTGGCCGGGTGCGAGGCCGGTGCCGGGCGCTGTAGTGCCCAGCCTCGGGGGGCTGAGGCCGGAGAGATGGCGGGTGGGAACCGCAGGAGGCGAGCTCGCGATGAGCTGAGATCCGCCGTACGGCACTCGCAACGCTGGCGGCAGAGGCGGACTCCTCGCGGCTCAAAAAAAACAAAAGAAGAAATTAAAATACAATAAAATAAAAATAAAAATACAAAAAGGTGTAGCCAGGCATGGGTGGCGGGCAGCCGTCAATCTCCAAGCGTCTCTGGGATGGCTGATGGCAGGCAGAATTTGCGCTTGACCCGAAGAGGCAGGAGTGTGGTAGGGGTAAGCAGAGGGATTGCGCACGTGCACGCTCAGCCTGGGTGATAGAGGAGAGCTCACTCTCAAAAAAGAAAAAAAAAGAAACAGTAAGTCTTTAGGCTGGTGTGTGGTGGGCTACCGCTGTGAAGCCCAGCACGTGTGGGAGGAACGCAGGGGCGAACACCTGAGGTCAGGAGGTCAAGACCAGCATGCAACACGGGAAACGCCCTGTCTTTAGAAGAAGTACAGGGAAATGTGTGAGCGCGAGGTCAGGATGGCGCGGTGTTGTGCTGTGAATCCGCTGCTACTTGCACGAGGCTGAGGAGGAGAAATTGCTTGGAACCAGAGAGGCTGGAGGTGCAGGTGGAGCGAGCGATCATGCCTTGGGATCCGCTGGGGTGACAGAGGTGAGAAAGAAAGGCAAGGAAAGTTGTATGTGTTAATAATCTTTCTTTTTTTAAGAGACAGGTGGCTGGGCGACCTCTGTTGTTCCGAGGCTGGAGGTGCAAGTGTGCACTGATCATGCTCATTGCAGCCTCCAAACCGTTTGGGGCTCAAGTGGTATTCTTCCCACCCAGGCCTCCAAGTATGGACTAGCAGGCACACAGCACGCGATGCCCAGCTAAGCGAATTTTCTTTTATTTACAGGTATTCCGAGGGAAAAGGGAAGAGATGTTTCGTCTTCAAGATAGACCTGTCTAGTCCAAATAGTTCTTCACCTATGAGATAATCAAAGCCACTTGTGTGTTATAAGAAGTCTCCAAGTTGTCTCTTTTCCAGCTTAAAAGGGAAGAAAAACTTCAAATTTTTCTGTATAGGAACCTCAGGAAGAAGAGGCAAGTGATGACAATATTCTCTTGAGACAAAAAGACTGTAACATAATCTGTCCAAAGAACAGCGTATTTGATAAGAAGGAAAGGTTATAAAAATGAGAACGAGCAAAACAGTGAGTCATAATTTGTTCTGAGCTTCTCACAACGGACTAGATAAGGGTCTGTGAAAATATTAAAGTGATCTGAGACATTTAGATACTATGTTATGAGTATCTAGTTTTTTAAGTAATGGAAATGACACATTTTCTTACTACTATATTTTCTTAAAAAG